AGTAAAGGCTGAAACACCCCTAGAGAAGAGGGTTAGGGGAACTGCCCGTGTTGAGGGAGGGAGAGGCAGTTACAGATTACAGTAGGATGGAAAATGAAGGAGAGGTAAGAGGCATGAAGAAGGCAGAGGATCACAGGTGTGGGGCAGGCATCTCTGGCTGTGCGGTCAGTGCCATTCAGTCATGAGAGCTCAGGCTTTCTAACAGACGGTGTCTTACACGACATGGGCACTGTTTTTTTGTTCCTGTTTTACAAGTGAGGAAACTTTTGTATGTTGAACTTGTAAATACAGACTGGGCACGGTGACTCATGCCTGTAATCCCATTACTTTGGGAGGCCGAGGTGAGAATATCACTTGGGTCAACAGTTCGAGACCAGTCTGACCAATATAGTAAAACCCTGTCTCTATAAAAATGTAAAAATTAGTTGGGCATGATGGCAGGCACCTGTAATCCCAGCTAGGGGAAGATGAGGCAGGAGAATCGCTTGAACCTGGGAGGTGGAGGTTGCAGTGAGCCAAGATCGCACCACTGCACTCCAGCCTGGATGACAGCGCAAGACCCCATCTCAAAAAAGAAGAAAAACTTGTCAATACAGAATATCGTCTCTCCAGGTGGGGGTGGGAGGTGTCAGCTTAAGCATACCTGCAGTAGGAAGATATCGTAAGAAAAACCACCCTAAGAGAATCTTGTATGTACAGCATGTGGTAGGCAAGTTGGTGGTGAATGGAGAACGGTGTGCGTTCTCGGGCCCCTCTCTCATTGGCTTATTGTCCCTCCTGTCCAGGAAAAGAAAGAAATACATTTGGTTGAGGGGACTTATCTCTAACAGCAGCCTCTTGTTGATCTTCCCAGACAAACCCCCCACACCACCGCCCCCCTGGGCTGGACCTCTCTCTACAGCTAGGAGCCAATGGCAGATGACAAAACTAAACCAAGTGAGCTGGACCAAGCGAAATAGGATGCTGATGACAACGTGAAGATCATCCACCTGGGAGACAGCGCAGTGGGCAAATCCGAGTATGTTGGGAGATTAGGGAAAAAATACCAGGCCCAGAGAGGGTCTGGGTCATTAAAAAAGTCCTCCACTAGCCTTGCCAACATGGCAAAACCGCATCTACTAAAAATACAAAAATAAGCCAGGCACGGTGGTGCACACCTATAATCCCAGATACTTGGGAGGCTGAGGCAGGAGAATCACTTGACCCTGGGAGGCGGAGGTTGCAGTGAGCCAAGATTGCACCACTGCATTCCAGCCTACGCAACAGAGTGAGACTCCGCCTCAAGGTGATAACGTTTGGGACAATGGCTCATGCCTGTAATCACAGCACTTTGGGAGGCTGAGGCAGGCGGATCACCTGAGGTTGGGAGTTCGAAACCAGCCTGATCAACATAGAGAAACCCCATCTCTACTAATAATACAAAAATTAGCTGGTGTAGTGGCACATGCCTGTAATCCCAGCTACTCAGGAGGGTGAGGCACAAGAATTGCTTGAACCTGGGAGGCAGAGGTTGCGGTGAGTCGAGATTGTGCCATTGCACTCCAGCCTGAGCAACAAGAGTGAAACTCTGTCTCAAAAAAAAAGGAAAAAAGGTTTGGGACAATGGGGAGATGGATACGCCATGTGACCACGTTGCCTGTTCTGCTTACAGACTCATGGAGCGATTTCTCATGGATGGATTGTCTCCTTCAAGGTTTGAAATACCCTTGTTCCTGCGGGTCTTCCCATGGTCGTGTATCTGTGCCCCACTGCCCACCCCTCTGTATTAGCAGCCCAGAAAGGAGGATTGGGTAAGTGAATACACAGGTTTTGTTCCACACTGGTTTTTTGCTGATTGACCCACATGGCGTTGCAAATCAGTGCTGTATATTTTGGAGCTTACTCATATTTAGATTTGTCTTATATTAAGAGGGCACTAGAATGGCTAACAGCACATAGTCTGGATCAAATCCCACAACCTCTTCCTCCTTAGTAGCTCCTGACACTGGGCAAGTCATCTAAGCTCTAACCTCAAAGCATGGCTGAGCAGGTGTCATCTCATCCAGCAGAAGCAATAGAAGAGGAGATCCAGAAGGAGCTGCTCTGTTCCACTCATTGTCACCTGCTCCTCTGCACACCTTCTTTCATGCTCTTCCCTCAGCCTCTCCCCAGCTCGCACCCCTTTACTTGAAACTCCGCTCATTTTTCAGACCCTGTTTAAATGCCACCACCTCCATGTAGCTTCCTCTGATGTCTGTCATTAGAAGTGCTCTTTCCTGTGTGGAAAGAGCTGATCACTTTCACAACGTGGATTCTGTCTGTGATGTGCATGTGCAAAACGCTGGGAGTGCCACGGTGGACAGACATGAGGGCTGCCCCCAGGAACTGGTGAAAACAGGAGGATTTCACAGACTTAAGGTGCGAAAAGTCACTAGGTTCTTTAGAAGGCTGGAATTCATCGGTTGGAAGAGGCCATGTTCTTCCAGAACCTGGATTCTACTGCTGGAAAAATAAGTTGGTTGAGAAAAAATGAGTTGGAGAAAGTTGTTATTGACGTGAAGCAGAATTGCTTTCACTGATCTGCTTATTACTGTCACCCTCACCCGCACCCCCACCCCAAGCAAAACCCCTCAAACAAACCCTACACCTAACCCCTAACCCTTAATCCTAACCCTAACCCTAACCCTTAATCCTAACCCTAACCTTAACCCCTAACCCTTAATCCTAACCCTAACCCCTAACCCTAAATCCTAACCCTAACCCTAAATCCTAAACCTAACCCCTAACCCTTAATCCTAACCCTAACCCTAACCCTACACCTAACCTCTAACCTTTAACTCTAACCCTAACCTAATCCCTAACCCTTAGCCCTAACTCTAAACCCCAACCCTATGCCTAAGGCCTAACCCTAACTCTAACCCCTAATCCAAACCCTAACCCCAACGCCATCCCCAACCCTATCCCTAACCCCTAACCCCAAACCCAAAACACTAAACCCTAACTCTAAACCCCAATCCTAAACCCTAATCCTAAACCCCAATCCCAACCCCTAACCCCTAACCCTAAACTCTAACACCAACCCTAACCCTTAACCACCAACCCTAATGCTAAACCGAACACCTAACCCTAACTGTAACCCTTAACCTCTAACCCCAACCTTATCCGTAACCGTTAACTCTGACCCTCTAACTGTAACCCTAACCCTAACCCTGTTTCCATCCCACAGGCTCTGTCCAGGATGGGATTTTATCTGATTGTTTGAAGTAGGTGGAAATCTCTGGTGCTACAGGGGTCCTCCGGGGAACAAGGACCTTGGTCTCCACGGAGACTGCGTGTGTGTGGCCCAGGAGGCTGGGGACGCCTTCAGCCACCAGGTGGCAGCAGGGCCCCTTCTGATTTGGGCCAGCGGCTCAGTGGGAGGGCTGGACTGGCACACTCCTCCTAAGGCTGCTCTTGTGGTGGTTTTGTTTGGTGGCCCCAGGTGTCCCAACCTCCTGTGTCCACTGTGGTATGTCCTGGGACCTCTACCCCAGGGCCCTCAACCTTTGCTGGCCTGGCTGCTGACAGAAGACGTACCCCCAGCCTGTCCCTTCCTCACCCTGCTGAGACCTGGCCCCGGCACAGCCAGCTCCATGTCCCTCGGGCCCTCTCAGGCCACCTCCTCTCCTCCAGGCTGCTTCTCACCCCGTAGATCCTCAGCCCCCAGCTCATCCTACGGCTATGTCCACTCTCGCATCTGCAGCCCCTTCCCCCAGTCGGCCACCCCCACTCTGAGTAGTGAGGAGGCCCCTGCCTGACTGGAGACCCCCAGGTGCAGACCCAGATCACACAGCACACTGAGAAGAGGAGGGATTCCCGCCTCAAAAGAAAGGCCTGAGACCAAGCCCAGATCCCACCACCCTCGGTCTCAAGGGCAGGCACGACTAGAGGCCCTTGGTGGCCAGGCCCTGCTGCCCTCTTCACTGACCAGCTGGCACGGCCTCCCTCACCAGCGTTCCCTCCTCCCACACCTGTTCTCTCTCACACACACCCTAAAGCCACCCCAAGCCTGTTGCTACTTGGCACCCACTGGGGACCAGGGATGTGACAACCCTCACCTGAGCTGGCTGCCAGGTCCTAATGGGCAGGTCCGGCCCACCCTCTAGGAGAGGTGCTGCCCGCTGAGGCATAAAATCCCCGGATTCTGGCTGCAGGCAGCTCCTGAGGCTGCCAGCATGAAGGGGAGCAGTGCTCTCCTACTGGTGGCCTTCACCCTGTTCTGCATCTGTGGTGAGTCTGTGCCACTGGGGCTTCCAGAACATTTGGGAGCGGGCAGGAGGGGGTTGGGGGTGCCTGAGGAGGTAAAATCCTGGCATCAGGTCCGTGCAGTGAACACTCCACCTGCACCTGTCACAGAGGTGGGCAAGGACCCTACAGAACCAGTCCCCACCCAATTACACCCCAACTAAAGACAGCCCAGCTGACCCAACCCCAGCCCAGTCCAGCCTGACCTGACCCTTCAAGGGATCAGATTTCTCCCACACCAGAGGCTTAACTTTCCTTCCCTGGTGATCCCAGGGAACGCTGAGTGGAAACTGGAGCAGCTAAGATTAAGGGACGTGGAGGTCTTTGGGCAAGGTGGAGTTGAGGGTGCTGTGGAGGAAGACATGGGGAGGAGAGGTGGGCATTGACGGGGAGGGTCTGGAGACCATGGAGGTTGGAGCCCTGGGATGCATGCAGGGCTGGGTTACACCAGTCGTGCTGTCCTGTCCTGGCACCATCTCACCTGTGATGCAGGGCTGGCCACAGGGGAGGACAACGCTGAGTTTTTCATGGACTTCCTACAAACACTGCTGGTGGGGACCCCAGAGGAGCTCTATGAGGGGCCCCTGGGCAAGTACAGTGTCAACGAGGATGCCAAGGCAGCCCTGACGGAGCTCAAGTCCTGCATAGATGGCCTGCAGCCAATGCACAAAGCACAGCTGGTCCAACTGCTGGTATGGGGGCTGTGGGGACGCCCCGTTCCCTAAAGACCTGAAGCCTTACCAAGACCACCCAACACAACAGCCACACACATCCCACCACCCACAGACATTGTACCCACATCAGCCAGCCGAGGTGGACACCCCAGACCTCCTGTCCACAGAGCAGCCCCCAGACGCCAAAGACCTGCTCCTCCCCAGTCAGCAGGCACACGTGCACACACAGAGATGCAAACACAGGTGGAGGCATGGAACACACACCGCAGGCACACGTGTAGACATTCACACATGCACACGCACACCCACATGTGTGCACGCCATCATGCACGCACACACAGCCTTGGCTACTGGAAGGGGATGGCCAGCAATATGCCAGACCCCCCACCGAGGGTCTTGCTTGCCTGATGGAGCTGTGGCTCTCCAGTTATTGATCACAGCTCTCAGCCCATGTTTCTGCCTTCCAGGTGCAAGTGCTGGGCAATGCGGACAGTGCCTAAGTGGACCTCAGACGAGGCTCAGCCATAGGACGTACCACACAAGCAGCCATGGACATGCCGCCCACCACCACCTCCCCACATGGAAATTCACCTCAAACCATTAATCAATAAAGCCTTCTGCAGCGCAGGCTCTGATTCCTGCCTCTCCCCTGACAGAGCCACATACATAGACCCACATACATCAGGTCCCGCTCAAGGAGCACACATGTGAAGGTCACCCACACAGAGGGACACACAGACACAGGGTCCACACAGGGGCAGGCACACCACAGGCAAGACCCAAAATGCAAATCCAGGCACACACCACGCAGGTAGGTGGACAGCACAGAGCCAGACAGCGCCACGTGGACACAGGGCGTCCAGAGGGAGACGGGCGGCAGAGGCAGCGGTATGAGGTGGGAGGGGCAGGGAGCCCCAGACACAGGAAGTGTCCAGAACTGGGTGGGCACAGACCCCCTGTTGCCCACAGGCTAGGTCAGGGCAGGGGTGCTCAGCATCTGAACGCTGGTGCCGTAAGGCAGTAGCCGTGCACAGCAAACGCACAGTCACACAGGCGGCCCAAGTCCAGCGGGTTTCAGAACAATCTCTCTTCCCAAAGTCGCCCAAGAAAAGAGTCTGCCTGGAAGACACTGGGAGGAGCTTGGGCCCCAAAAAGGACCCCTGACAAGGCCGAGAAAAAGGTGCACCTGTGTCCAAGGGGGTTGGGAGCCGCAGGTGAGCAGCCTCTGAGGTCAGCCAGGGCAGCAGCAGCGCCCACGCCGATTCACGCCCACCACAGCCACACGGACCCTGACCCCAGATCCCAGGCTCTGCCATAGCCAGAACCGTCCAGCATCTCAGTGGCCTAAATCTCTGGTCTCTTCCGGGGGCACAGCTGAGTGGAACTGCCACGTCCTCAGCCATCCTCAGTGCTGAGCCCTGAAACTTCACTGCCCCAGCCCTCCTCTCCACACCTCTGTCCTGTCTGAGCCTGGCAGGGAGGCCATGGCTGAGGGAGCCCTAGGGAGAGTGCCCTGCAGGACTTGGTTATGGGGGAGCTGGTGAGGGGACTGGTAAGGTGGTGCCTGGTGAGGGAACCTGAGGAGGGGGGTCTGGTGAGGGGACCTGGTAAGAAGCACCTGATGAGAAGACCTGGTGGGGAGGGCCTGGTGAGGGGAACTGGTGAGGGGACCCAATGAGGGGGGACCTGGTGAGGGAACCTGGTGAGGCAGGTCTGGTGGGGGAACCTGGTGAGGGAGGGTCTGGTAAGGGGGCCTGGTGAGGTGGGACCTGGTGAGGCAGGTCTGGTGGGGGGACCTGGTGAGGGGGGGCCTGCTAAAGAGGCCTGGTGAGGAGACATGGTGAAGGAGGACCTGGCGAGGGGAACCTGATGAGGGAGAACTTGGTGAGAGGACATGGTAAGGGGACATTTAGAGGTGATCTGTTGGGGGGACCTGGTGAGGGGACATGGTAAGGGGTACCTGGTGGTGAGCTCTGGTGAGGGGATCTAAAGCTGAGGCCATTGTCTTGGTCACACTGACAGTAATCTAGAACCTGTCATCCCACAGAGCACAGAGCCACATTCTAGAGTTTAGAGTGGGGACCTCTCCCCAGTTCTGTAAGCCCCTGAGGAGAGAGGGAGGCCTTCCTCTCCATGCTCCTTTTGCAGGAACTCCCTGGCACCAAGACCAGAGGGGACAGGACAGTCTCCAAGGATGGGACCGTAGGCTGCCTGGAGCGCTGTCCCTGCACCGAAGAAGTTACAGCCCCCTCCTAGGCAGACCCCTCCCTGCCCCTCAGCACAGCCTCAACCAAGACGTTCCCCACCTTTGATCACCACTCCAAGTAGGAGAAACTGGGCCAGGGTCTCCTTACAGCCGAGAAGCGTTGTGAGTAGAGGGCCACCATGGACAGCAGCTCTGGGTTAGGGTTAAGCTGGTGAGGCGTTCACAGTCCTATGCGGAAAGCTCCCACCCTCCCAAACTCCTGGCTCCCAGCTGGAGCCCCCCCCACTGAGAACCCTGTACAGGTTCAGCAGCTCTGCTCTTCAGTGTCAGCAGAAGCAGGGACGGGGACATTAGGGCCGGGCCTCCCAGCACCTGGAAACCCTCTCATTTGTAGACAGAGCTGGCCATGACGGAGGAGGTATGGATGGGCACCTGGAGACCCCATCGCCCCCGGGGACCCATCATGGCCCTCTACAGCAGCCCTGGACCCAAGTACCTGATTCCACCAACAACAGGTAAGAGCCTGAGAGCCTGTGGGGAGGGTCAGGAAGCAGGAGGGTGGGTGGCCTGGGGAAGGCCTGAGGGTGGGGGTCCAGGGAGGGCCTGGGGCTCAATCCCCAACTCCCAGCGGGGAGAAGGGCAGGTTAGGCTCCCGGCTGCTCAGGGCCCACTGCGTCCACAGGCTTCATGAAGCACACACCCACCAAGCTACGCGCACCAGCCTACAGCTTCCGTGGGGCCCCCATGCTCCTGGCAGAGAACTGCTCCCCAGGGCCCCGCTACAATGTAAACCCCAGGATACTGAGGACTGGCAAGGACCTTGGCCCTGCCTACTCCATCCTGGGGCGCTACCACACCAAGACCATGCTGACCCCTGGCCCAGGTTAGTGATCCCCGCTCAGGCTCCTGCCCTATGCAGCCTCCAGCCTGCCCCTCCCTGCTGGGTCCCCCTAACCTCATGTCTGCAAGGGTGTGAGCTCAGCTATCCCGCCCCTCCTGTCCTATCTTTCTCTCTTGAGGGGTTGCCATCACACCTGGGCAGAGAAGACTCTGACCCTAGAGCCCAGCTCCAGCCTGGACCTTTCTCTGGCAAGCCCATGTCAGACCCCACTCTCCCTGCTCAAAAATGGCCTTTGTCTCCCCAGCCCCGAGGTCAGCATTTCCATCCTGGACACCCCCTGACCAGACCTGGTCACCACCTGTGTTGGAGCCCAGAGGCCCCATGCCTAGAATGTTGGGGAGCCCTCCTTGAGCCCCCAAACAGGGCTGCACACCCACCTGCTTGTTGTCCCAGCACCCCCTTGGCTCCTTGTCCAGGTGACTACTTTCCAGAGAAATCCACCAAGTTCGTGTTCGACTCAGCGCCCAGCCACTCCATCTCTGCTCGGACAAAGACGTTCCGAGTGGACAGCACCCCAGGTCTGCAGCAGCCCCAATGATCCTCAGCCAAACGGATCTGGGGATCCTGGGTGGGGTGGGTGAGACGGGGCAGCCTGACGGCTGATCTCCAGGGTTGGGGGAAAGCCCCAGGGAAGTGGCAGTGGGCCCTGTTCCGGCCTGAGGAACACGTCCACCCTGCAGGCCCCGCTGCGTACATGCTGCCCGTGGTGATGGGGCCCCACACTGTCGGGAAGGTCTCCCAGCCCTCCTTTTCCATCAAGGGCCGCAGCAAGCTGGGCGGCTTCAGCGATGACCTACACAAGGCAAGGGTCCCCCCAGCTGAGAACAGAGAGCTGCCCCCCAACCTCCCCCACAACCCAGGACCCGCCAGCTCAGCCCTGCCTTGCCGAAGCCCCTCAGCCCCCTATCCTCTGGGGTAGCCCCCTATCCCCCACGTGCTGGGGTGACACTGCAGTGGTGAGGAGGTCCAGGCCCCAGCAGAGGACGGCGCTGTCTGGAGGGTAACAGGCAGTCTTAGCTACGGTTGCATGGAAAGAGGAGGAAGAAAAAATAAGCCATGACCTATTTTGGGGAGGAGGGTCCTGGTTTCAGAAACAGCCAGTGCAAAGGCCTCGGGTGGGCATGTGCCCGAGAGCTTGAGGGGCCTGAGATGGGGAAACCGTGTCACGGCACCCAGCAGCCCTTGTCGGTGTCGATGTCACCAGCCCCAGGCCCCCAAGTCCAATGGGACAGCGACCCGCTGGAAGCAGGCCTCTCACACATGCTCAGAGATGTTCCCAGGACTGGTACACTCTGGGGATGTCATAGCCAGCGTGAGGCTGAAATCGAGGAAGTAGCCCCCGCCTGAGAAGGTGCCCCACAAGCAGGGTGACAGAACACAGAGGGGGACCCTGATGCACAGGCACAGACTTGTAGCTGGCTCTGTTGACTCAGGCCTGAAACCCTCTGTCCAAGTTTGCTCTCTGTTGTCTAGGGCCACGCGCCCAGAGTAGGCTGAGCTTGTCTGAGCCTCCTTTGCCTCTCAGACCCCAGGTCCCGCAGCCTACCGCCAGACTGACATGCAGGTGACCAAGTTCAAGGCTCCACAGTACACCATGGCTGCCCGTGTAGAGCCTCCAGGGGACAAGACCCTCAAGCCAGGACCAGGCGCCCACAGCCCTGAGAAGGTCCAGGAAGAGCACAGCCCAGAGGGGTCAGGGTGGGGTGGGGGCCCTGGCCCAAAGGGATGTGCAGGAAAGAGCAGGGGAGGAGGGTTGGGACACAGAGGAGGGGAAACAGGGTCAGGCTGTGAAGGACACAGCCAAGAGGGGGTGGAGAGTTAGGGTGGGGACGGGAAGCACCTCCACCCTTGGGACCCTGCACCAGCCCCACAGGTAATCCTTCAGCGACAGGGAAGCAGAGGCCCTGCCCTTTTCCTTAGACACTTGACAGCTACCACTGCTGAGTGCTCTGTGTTCAAACCTGGGAGTGTAGCTTCTGGCCGCCTTGGCCCCAGGCTCAGGAAGGACAGTGGCCCAGCCCCAGCCAGGGTAGAGAACTGCATATGGGGGTGCTGGCTCCTCTCATAGCCCCTCCTCTCCCAGGTGACCCTGACCAAGCCCTGCGCCCCCATTGTCACCTTCGGCATCAAACACTCTGATTACATGACACCCCTGGTGGTTGACGTGGAATAGCCCAGCCCTGCTGTGCCCCATCACGCCCAACATCTGCACAAGATTCACTGGGCCACGGAGCTCCAGGCCGTCTTCACCCACTGGGCTGGGCCAGCTGGCCCCGCAGGGCAGAGCACGCTTGTTTGGATGATTGCAACCAGTTATTTTTTTCTACGCTGTTTTACCATTTGCTGTCTTGTTTTCTGCTGTGCCCAAAGTATTTAATAAATCAGCTTGCATTAATGAAGGGTGTGTCTTGGTGGAAGGATCAAGCTTTTACAGAAAGGAGCCCCCATGGGCTGTCAGCACTTGCCCACACAGGGTCCCATCCTGGCTTCTAGGGCCCAGGGTCAGCTTGGTGAGATGGGAGGGCCTGAGTGCCTCAGACACCCTGCTCCACGCCTGTCCCTCCCGATACTGCCTGCCTTGAACCCCAAAGACAGCCACAGCTGTGTTGGTCACCTCTGAACAATGCTGTGTCCCTCCCCTTGAATCTGGACTGCAGCCTGTGACTGTCCTGAATAATGAGGTATGGCAGAACTGATGCCACCTGGCTTCTGATGCTAGGCATGCACTGTACCAAAGAAACAGCTTCTGCCTGGATAGCAGTGCCCACCCCCGCCCCCACCCCTTACCACTGTGTCCATGTTTGCTCCAGTACCAGCCATCATGTGAGGAAGCTTAAGCATGGTGAGACTGAACTCATCATCCCAGGCAGTCGGCCCAGCCAGGCCCTCCACTCACCAGCACTGACCTCTGGACGTGTGACTGAGCCTTCAGATGGAAGCAGCCCCAGGACCACATCTTACAGTGAGGCCTCCACATTGTAGAGCAAAAGCGGCCAACCCTGAAGCAGTGCCCTGTCTCAAATTCAATGAGACATGATAAACTGTTGCAATTTTAAGTGCAGTTTTAGGGTGGCCTGCTACGCATCAGTGGGCACCACGGGGAGTAGGAGGACACGGACAGGGAAGGTAGGGTACGGGCTGGGCCTGAAGAGGGGGATTTCCAGAGGCTGCCCAGGAGTCCAAGGCCAGGCCTCAAGAAGTGGTGCCTGGATCTCAACTCAGCCTTTTGGGGAGGTCACTTTAGGATGGGCAGCCTTGACAGACACAGCTGTGGCACCATCCCCTGCACCTGTACAAAGCACAATACAGCTGCTGACTCTTACTTGTGATCATGCCAGCTTGCGTATTCTTGTTTACCCGCTTTTTGGGGGCTTTTTTTTTTTTTTGAGAGGGAGTCTCTGTCGCCCAGGCTGCAGTGCAGTGGTGCCATCTCGGCTCACTGCAACCTCCACCTCCCACATTCAAGTGATTCTCCTGCCGAAGCCTCCTGAGTAGTTGGAATTACAGCCAAGCACCACCACACCAGCTACTTTCTATATTTTTAGTACAGATGGGGTTTCACCATTTTGGTCAGGCTGGTCTCGAACTCCTGTCCTCAGGTGATCCACCCTCCTCAGCCTCCCAAAGTGTTGGGATTATAGGGGTGAGCCACCTCGCTTGGCCTACTCACTTATTTCCTGTGTGGTTGTGCCCTCAGGATCCCCATCTGCATTTCAGGAACGTGGGCAGGGAAGGGTAACACAGCAGGAAGTGGGTGAGTCTGTGGCTGCTCTGCCCAAAGCCAACCCTGACGGGAAGGGAGAGGGTTTATGGCACCACTGCCCATGGCCAGCCTGTGGACCAGGGTGAGCTCCACACACAAAATTCCCTCAAATCCCAAGGAAATGACAACAGACACCATACGATCAGTTCTTCATGAAATCATATTTATGACAAATTTTTATTGTTTACGTGTTTTGTCTTGAAATTATGGGATAGAACCTAGCACTCCCTCCTCCCTTGGCAGAGTGGGTAACCCTGGCTCTCATCATGGGCCCCCAAGATCCTTTTTGGTTCTACTGGTGTCAGGGATCACAGTCAGCAAACCCCGCTCTTTTACAAGGTCAGGTGCCTGGGGCTGAGGGTTAGCATCAGGCCCCTCAGGAAACTGGTCTGGCACAGCAGCAGCAGGGCTGCCACTCTCCCTTTGCGGGATCTTAATACAGCAAAAGATGCAGAAAAGGAAACCAGAAAGGAAGTCCAGCCCAGACCCCGAAGTACCTGGGAGGGCTGCAAAGGGCTGTGGAGATGGAGACTGGGAGGGAACACAGTGTGTGTCTGAGACAACAAAGCACCTCCCTAACGAAGGCCACCCGAGTTGCAGCCTAACTTCCCAGTTTGCCTCAGCAAGATGAGCGGGCACCACTACAGAAAGATCACCGGGGTCCAGTTCGGTTCCCACAGCTCAGTCACATTCCCCAGAAGTGGAGGTTGGCCCCAAATGGCCCAGGACAATATGGGGGATGAAGAGTTGGGAGACAATGCAGGCAGCTGCAACCAGCCTGGTGACCAGGGGACAAGCCCCTGATGAGCAGAGGACTAAGGCAAGCCATGGCAGGCAAGGACACTGGTGCCTGAGGAATGACAGGGGTCTGCAGAGGGACACCTGAGGAGGGGGCAGCAAGCTGGGAGCAACACCAGCCCAGCTCGGTTTCAGGGCAACAGCAAAGCCCCAGAGAATGGAGGCAGTTGAGTAGACCTTGCTGGGTGAGAAGCGGGCTTGCACTGCATGAGGGAGTAAGAAGGCGGACTCCACTCCTCCGGGAGGCTGACAGTCTCAGCCACGTCACAAGGAAGGGGGCTACGGTGAGCGTGCGTGGAGAAAGGGGCTTGCTGTGTGTAGGGAGAAGGAAGGGAGGGGAAGGGTGAGCAAAGTGGGGCTGCAGGTGCCAGGCTGTGGCTTGTCTCTGGTCAGCCTGGAGCTCCGAGGCAGTTCAGGATGGACAGGACACATGGTGTGGCCACGGGTGGGGCGACAGTGAGCCCATAGTCCCCAGGGAGTGACTGGGAGGCACAAGATTGGAACAGGACAAAGAAGGGCACAGAAGCACATGACTCGCACTTTAAAGGTGTTTTTACGCCAAGACAAGGGGGCTGGGACCTCATCTTGAGGTGGGAAGAAGTGATTTCCCTGCCAGTCCAGTGGTTTGAACATGAGCCCGGCCCAGGGAGAGGTGGGTAGAGCGGGCATCCTGCAGAGGCTGGAGACAAGGAGGATGGCACGAAGCACCATCAGTCAAGGGAGCCTGGCAGGGCTTGGCAGAGGGGCAAAAGTTACCAGCAAGCTAGGCAGCAACTAGAGTCCTCATAGGAACCTTGCTGTGTAGACCCACAGACGCTCCCTGACCCTGCATGGTTTGCCTGACTCTGAAATGCCAAACAGGCCCACTTCTGGGTCTGTTCTCCTGAAAACACATCTTTGGTGCTGGGTTGATCCTGAATCCTGAAAATGCAAGTTTCTGCTCCTAGATACATAGTCACATGACCCAGAACGATCCAGGCCCAGTGGCTAGGCCAAGGCTGCAGTTCACTCCGTCCACACCCCCGTTCTCCCCAGGGGTCTCACTTCATCCGCAGGACTGGAGAGCAGGCAGAGAGAACTCACAGCAGGGCAGCCCACACTGGTCTGCCCGTGCTTAGCAACCGTGGCCAGAAGTAACTGTCATCTCCAGGTTGAGAGGCCTCAGTCGGAGATGGCACTCACTCAGGGTTCACAGTCCCTTCCTGTGTCAGCTCCAGGCACCTGGGATCACGGACATGGCCTCACCCCAACAAGGACACAACCGTGGAGCCTTAAGATGTCACAGTCCCAAGAGCTGGGAGAAAGGCTGCAGGCCTCAAGTGGCTCTGTCTGGGATTCAACAGCTGCTGTGCTCGGACCTGGCTCCTCTAGACATGCTGTGGCCTCAACTCTGCTGGTGTCTCTAGCACCTGGGGGAGGGGGGAAGAGCTGGCCCTTGGTTTCCCCAAAAGAAAGAGTCCCTTCCACACATGGGATCAACCAACATGAGCTCATCAGGTCACAGACTGCCACAGCCTCCTGCCCCACAGGAATAAGATTCCTAACCCACGACTGTAATTTCAAAGGAGTATTTTGCAGTAAGTTCTCTGGAGCCCAAGACGCCAGGCAGGAAGACCTGGGCTGCCCTTGGCACCCACAGACACCAGCTCCCACTGGTTCACGTCCTTGCCCTCGACAAGAAGTAGGAGAGGATGAAGAAGGCCACAATTAGACCCATGGCCATGCCACACAGAAGCTTCCGGTTGTCTCGCCCAGACCTTGCCATTGTGGAAAAGCGTTTCACACTCCCTGTAAGCAGGCCGGTCATGCTTGTGAAATCCGAGTCCTAAGGGAGGAATCCCAGCAAGATCACACAGAAGTGGTGATTTGACCGCCCACCCGCACCAGTGCTGAAGGAGACACTGTAGGCTCTGCAGCAAGTAGTGCTGGGGCAGGCCCTTACCATGCCATCCAGGTACCGGTTCTGATCCTCTGCGTCCCTATCGATGTCCAGGGCAAGCTGTTCAGCACAGAGAGGGCAGGGTTGGGCCAGGGCAGACACATAATGCAGCACTCACCCTCCCCAGACCAGACAAGCCCTGCCACCAACTCTGCCAGACAGAGATCCAGGTGGGGCGTCATGCGGGTGAGCACAGCCACAAATTGGACCAGGGGGATGGAAAACTGCCTGAAACTCCTCTGGGCTGTCTGCCATTCCTCTGATCCCCACTCCCCAAGGGCACCCGGTAGAGATAAGAGGACAGGAAACCACCACTGACCGATTTGAGCCTGGTGACTTTGGAGGCCAGGCTGTCGGTCATTCGCTTGTTCTCCCGGTCTAGTATCTCTTCCACAGCACCAGGACTCTGAGCTGAGAAGAGAGAGAGGCTGAGGGGTTGCATCCACCTGTGAGCACGGCCCCTGACCCCTCTCGCTCCAACCACATCTGGGTGAGTTGGAAATCCAGGGGGACTGGGCCCTGTGTCTGCTGGGCAGGTGGCAGACACAGGGCCCTAACCCAGGTTCCAGCAGGTAGATCTTGCACATGTAAGGCAGGCTGCATAAAGGACGACGTGTGTAAGCGCCTGTCATGTGAACACATGCCCTGTGTACACATCCAGGTGGGGATGGGCAAGCACCCACAACAGGCTCGGTGCAGCCAGCAGTTTCCGATACAGCGTAGCAGAAACTGGACCCAGCCCTGGGATGCTGGTAAGATGTGACACTTGCATCCATGGAGGTCGCCATCTGTGTAAAAGTGTAGGAAAGACTTGGGAAAAGTATCCAGCAGAAAGGCTCCTGCAGGGACGACTTTAGAGCTGGCTCCTGAAGAGATGGCAAAGAACCAGGACAGAACATTGAGAAGGCTCTTTACCGCACACAAAATGGCTGAGCCAAGCTCCCAATTCCCCAAGATGGGAGCTGAGTTCGACCAAGAGAGGGATCCTTGGCCTGCATCCCACAGAGAGCTTCCCCGCAACACCCAGAGCACAGTACTTGCAGAGGCCTGGCCTGTGACAGGCTGGGCCAAGTGACAAGGAATTTCTGTCACATCAGGTGGG